ACATACAGAAATAGCAGAAATATAGCTGGATTAAGAAGTCTGATGCACAATCATTAGATAGTATGGATATAGTAATAAGATCATATTGACAGGGATATTGACCCTACCAGTCAGGTATACTTAGTAGAACTTCAATCAGCTCTGTAGCCACTCTAGTTGTTGAGATATCATTTTATCAGTGATAGATCAGCTAGTGATTGGCTAGTCTGGACACAACCAATCAGATGCCACTATAGGTTACTTAATGAAGGTTGTTTATAGAGACAATATAGACAACTTTGGTTTTTGTGACGATCTATGACATTCTGTAATAGTTGCATTGTCAAATTGCGGAAATTTCCTTTTTTGGAAACTTGTCATATATATCAGGTTATGTTACAGTATATAACCGCATGATACGGTCACTGAAACTACCAGCTCTAGTGTCTAGTGATGAGAGTTCCCTTTTACATGTCACATAGTGTGACTCTGGGAGACTTGGCCTAGATGGCCTATGTTATATTATTCACCTTTATTCACCCCCCTATATACTGGACTTAGCGAAAAATTTGCCTTGAACTTCACAATTATTCACCCCCTTCACCACCAATTATTCACCTCTCAGTAGATTTGTGATAAGCCTGGGGCTTATCAGTGGCAAGCGTGCAGGTTGCCACTGATAATATACAGTGGGTTTTGGGCTAAACAGGTGCACGGTGTAACGTGTTCAGTCGCTGACTCTGAGTAAGTTTCCTTCTCGCATCGGTCCCATCGCCATCCTTATCCTCTCTGTATTGGTCATCAGGTTCCCTGTCCACCAGGCCACTACAGTCTACTCTAGACTTTGGTGCTTGTGGTTGTGTAGAGTCGGAAATTGAATTCCACTTCCCTTCCATAATTGTAGCTGATTAGCCTCTCAGTGCGCCAAGCCAGCCTGTGCTGATTTTTAAGTGTGAAATTATTCGCAATTTCCATCCAGAACTCAGGCGAGAAATCTGTTTCATTGTTATCTACTGGAAGACCAACTGAAATGATGTAACTATACTAAGTGATCAAAACTATTGATGGCAATCAAAAAATGGTTCCACATTGATAACAATATTGAGATAGCATCAACCCCATCACTAAAAACTAATAAACAAAGGTAGTAAAAATAAAATAAAGTATTAAAGCATTGTAACAGATGTGACTTCAGCCAAATTTCATTAGCCTAATCTTCCAGTGAACAGTAGCAAGCCAGTAGTAGCTGGCAATTTAGGCAATGGGCTACATTAGGCTATATATTACCACTATGGCTCATCCTTGTCAGTTGAGTCATCCCAGACCCACGGCTTGTCTAGTACTTGCTGCTCCGTCTCTTTGAGCCACTTGCCGGTAAGGGGAGAGGCTCTTGAGTCTGGTAATGAGGGTGGATGATGAGTGGGAGGCCAAAGATGAGACCGACACTACACAACTAAAACCCAGAAACAAAACGACTAATGACCGTTCTGCTTGGGCAATAACTGCGCAACACTGTTCCAATAACCACCAATAACCGTCTCCTAATACGAGTGCAGAACCCTGGGAATAGAGCCTGTACACGGATGTGCAAGGTTGTAGGGTAGATCGAATGAAATCTTGTTAAAGATTCATTTTGTGGTTGTTCTTAAGCATACTATCGACGAAATCCCGGCAATAGGAAAGCGCCAATACGATGCCCAGAACCGTTTATACTCGTTTGGATCAGGAACTAACTGTCTTAAACCCAAGGAGTCGTCTCAAGTCAGGACTAACTGCCTTAAACTCTCGACCGCCAACCGAAACCAAGTGTACGCCAATCGAAACTCTTTTATACGGCAACTGGAACCCTCAACTCTTCAATTACAATGCCTTTTACTTGAATGAAAGAGCTAGCAGGATGATATTGATAAGCTAGATCCCCAGATGCACCTAGTAACGCGGGGCAATCCGTGAATCGCTCAAATACAGGACAGAGATATAAATACTAAAACAGAAAATGATAAGATCAGGTAAATTGCCACAACAGAATGATGGTCCATGTGCATAATTTATAAGGTATCGTTTCACCATAAGGCCCAGAGTCAAAAATCCAGGTCTAGAAAGTTCACACACAGAGTTCAAGTGCTATTGGCGAAGTTTGCAATAAAGCCCAGTGCAAGAGAGTTACTCTGGCGCATATTGTGCACATCTGATGGTGGTATCAATAATCAGCGGATCGTTATTATTCTGGATGACACAGAGCAACCCAAACTGGTGGCCCAACAATCTTAACATACTAGTTAGATTAGGCGGGACAGACCTTCTCTATGCTTTCTTTTGCAAACTGGGTTATTCTTCAAAGAGTGGCAATCCAAGAATACTGAGGGCCATACATCAAGGAGATTGACAGATTGGTGTAACGAGAAAATTCTATGACAGTGAGCAAGGGGGGTTCAACTTTCGAATCATGGATATAGGGCTGGAAAGTTTTTTTCCGACCCTCCAGGGGCCCCCCCTCCCCCTCCTGCCATATAGGGTAATATGTTCCCACAATTAGCATCATGTGACCATTGATGTGATCACAATGTGGCATAAAAATTCTATGCATATGTATGTGTAGGTCTGTATAGATATATATACCTGGAACCTTCAAACACACATGGCAGGCCATATCAACTCTTTAATATGTTCACCTCCCATGAATTACCTGATGATGGGCCTATGAGAGGGTGAGCTATCCAAGCTCATAGACCTGAAAGTATATATATATATAAGTATAGGGGTTGTGAATTATAGAAATTAGAGTGTAGACACTATATTTTCAGTGTCTTTACACCCATAAAAGGCTCAAATCTTTCATATACAAAACAGTTTTTTTTTTTACCCCCAGGGACCCCCCTAGTGATTCACTGGCTTTGGCTTCAGGCTAAAAAGCCATGGCTTTTTGGCTTTGGTACCAAAGCCAAGCCAGGGCCAAAAGTCATGGCCTGGGGTGGCTTTTGGCCTGGCTTGACCTTGAACCAGCAAAAGCTAGGCCAAAGCCAATGGCTTTGATCACATGATCATTTGAGTGGTGATCTGCAGTCACATTTCCTTTTTGAGTCTATTTATCAGGGCTTTTCCACCTTAGATTGCACTTTAAGCACTCTTATATATGCTAGCTATTCAGTACCAACTTTTTAAGAGTCATTACTCATATATTTTATCCATTTTTACCTATCATAACTTGGATTAATGTGTGATGGAAAGCCATAGCCCAGGCCAAAGCCAAGCTCAGGCCAGGCTAAAGCCACACCTTTTGGCCTGGCCTGTATGGATGCAAGGCCAAAGCCACTGAATCACTAGACCCCCCCTCCTACCCCATGTGCCTGATAAGAATCTTGAGCCCCCTGACAGTGAGATCAAGCGATAAGGATGAGATGCACACTCCCAGTGCTATTCACTAGTATGGCCATGTATACAAGCAATATACTGTAGTAACTTATAAGTGGTGCGCCGAGGTTTAATCGTTAAGGAGTCCAGTGTTCAAGTATGGGGGACATACTGTAAAAAAAGTATTTCATACATGTTTTGAAATGAATACAACTTTTTGGAGATACAACTTGCCTTTTTTACAATTTTCACATACAACTTTGAAAATTAGATACAACTTTTCACCCTGTGGACATATACAAGTCAACCCCAAAGACAGCTTTTCTGGTGACATGTTTTACTCTGGCTGGTGACATGTTTATACTTGATGACAACTTTTCTGGAGACATGTTCAATTTCACCAAGTCCAACTTTTCTGACTATTGACAACTTATAATGAGCAGACAACTTTTCCAGCAACATCTTCAACTTTCTTAGATACAACTTGGTTTTTCATTTTGAGTACAACTTTTCCAAGTACAACTTTCTCTCTGGGGTACAACTTTTTTTAAGAGCTACTTCAACTTAGAATGCAACAACTTTGTAAATCACAACTTTCCAAGATACATGTTGTCAAGGCCTCTGGTACAACTTTTGTTGGCCTAGATATAACTTTTTTCGGGCAAGGTACAACTTCCGTTCTTCCATCACTTGCCATCAGCGGCCATCAACGGCAATCATGGCATGGTTGTATTATAGGACTCCATCACAATGTAAACTTGCTAGCCAACATAGGTAGAGTGAAGCATATTTAATATGTTTCTCTGATCCACTGATGATATCTGATAATATCAGTGATGGCTGGCCAAAAAGGTCCAAGTTGCATCCAAATAAGCAGTATACAGAATTAAAGGTGTACTAAAAAAAAGTTGTCCAATTGGCTATCTGTACCCCAAAAAAAGTTGTACTCAGAACAAGTTGTGCTTTGGAAAGTTGTATGCAATGACAGGTTGTCTTTGCCCAAGTTGGACTTGTCACAGCCAGACTCAAATTGCCTCACCCAGGAAAAAGTTGTACCTGAATTAGGGCCATAGATGTCTTATTAGAAGTTGTAGTTGTCTTTGGCTAAATGAAAAGTTGTTTCTGGAAAAGTTGTGATTCTGAAAGTTGTACATGCTTCCAAGAAAGTTGCATCCCCTAAAGTTGTACATGCTCTCAAAAGAGTTGTCTCATGTTGGAAAGTTATACTCAGACAAGTTGTATATGTTATTGCTAAAGTTGTATTTGACAAACATGTAGTTGTAGTCAATATGAAGTTGTACCATATTTTTTGTTGTATTTTACCTAAGTTGTCTCTAATCTTTTTTTACAGTATGTCTTCCATATTCAAGTGTTTGGAACTTCGAATTTGCTTCGAATGTTTCACTGTACGAGAACAAACATCCTGTGAGTGTGGTTGCTCAAGTTGTTAATAGCAGGGCAACACACCTATCACTACTAGTGCTACCAGAGCTACCAATACTATACTGGTTTGGCTGACAGGTACTTAGAAAAATTCTTTTTCTTGCAAAACCTGAGCAACGGTCCTCGATCGACGATGCTCGAAGTCTTAAAAAAGCATACGATAACATGTATGTATTTTCCCAGTGTACTAGTACAAAGAAAGCCCAAGACAAAAAAAGAGAACACCCTCAGCCTGTGAAGAACGCCTGGATGCCCTGGATGTTCGCGGCATTGATCGTCGCGCCGATGTTCTTCGCGGCCTTGGCAATGTCGAACGACGCGAGCTGTTTCGCCTGGCCGGGCGCGTTGAGCGCGAGGATCTGGATCTTCATGTTGCCCGGCGAGAGCAGGTAGGACGTGTCCTTGCCGTCAAGCAGCGCGACCTCCTGGTCGATCGGGAACGAGCCCTTCTCCTGCGGGTACTGCTTCACGCCCTTGACCTCGAGCGTCTTCGGGTCGATGCTCAGCTCCGTGTACACCGCCGTGTCGCTGTCGCTGATGTAGTAGTTTCTTGTCTGGTCCGAGAACTCGCCCCACGCGGTGTGGATCGAGTCGTTGATGACCAGGTCCTGTGCCTTCTCCGCTTTCGTGGTGCCGTTCTTGCCAAAGTCGAAGATGTTGATGCCCTTGCCGATGTCGGTGTTCATGAGCGCGTCGGCGCCGCGGATGGCGGTGAGCGAGGCGGGGTTGGCACCGCCGTCGGGGACGTTCTTGACAAAGTCGGCGGAGAGCGAGCCGTCGTCGGCGACGTCCCACGCGGCGAGGAAGCCCGGCGCGTCTTTGCTGCCCTTGACGGAGACGAACAGCCGTTTGCTGTCGTCCGAGAACAGGATCTGCGACGGCGTGTTGTCCGGGTTCGCCGCTGTCAACCAAGTCAACATCGTGAAACCGAAAAGAAGACGAAACATACGTGGCGTGGTCAGCTTCAAGTTGAGCGAGCGCACGCTGTTGGGGATGGGCACGAGGCCCTTGCGCAGGCTGACGGTGTAGCAGCTCACGCCATTGTTCTGCCCCGCATTGAGGATGCACACGTTCCCGTTGGTATTGCTAATCGTCGCGCTGACGGGGAAGTTGCCGCTCGTGCTGATGGGCTGCCCGATCATGCGGATGAAGGCCGGGTTCTGGAAGTCGATCTGGAAGATGCTCGCGGTGTCCGAGCCGGCGTTGACTGCGACGAGCTTGTCCGCGATGACCTTAATCGAGCCCTGCGACGCCAGCCCGTTCGGCTTGCTGACATCAGGCCCCATGTGCCCGCCGTTGCCGCCCGCGTAGACCGCATCGCCGAATAGCTATGAGCTGCTTTAATTCGGGCGGTGTTAGCTAGCGGAAAGAACGCACCACATTGCCATCCGCATCGATGTTGGCGGTGAACACAAAGTTGCCATTCGGCTCATTGGACATCCCTGCACTACTTCAATCATGTTGCCTTCCAGCAAAACAAAACCACGCACAGTAGAGTCCCCCAGGGCCCTTGGCCGTGAGGCCCGGCCGGTTCTTATCCGTGCCCTTACATATCGGATTCTGCTGCGCGGCGGGGGCAGCGGCGACCAGTGTCGCGGCGAGCGTCAGCGCGAGCGTGCTGTAGAGCATAGCGAGAGGTATGAGTGTTAGTGGGGGTATGAAATCGGTGGTATCGCGCTAGCGCGGGCGAAGTAGGAGGATAAACAAGGAAGGAGGAAGGCCTGCCTGCCGCCGGGGCTAGCGAAGAACGAAGGGGGTGGGGGCGGGGACCGGGCGAACGGAGCGTGGAAACCGCATCCCCACTGCGAACCCATGCGTTTTATACAGAAAACAAACCGCGTTACCGGCCGGGGCAGGCACGCGCACCTGAAAAAAAGCAGCGCAGAAGGCAGCACGAATCAGAAACTGGACAGCGAAATCCATACCAGGACAGATATTGCCTCGTCTAATCACAGACAGCCACTCACACAACGGCCGCCAAGCGCAGCGACCGGGCGGCAGTATCCAGACGACGCGGTGGGCGCCTGACGTCGAACCCGCGCGCCATCGCTACCTATATCACGCCCAACAGCAGCATCGTGCTACCACCGCGCCAAGCCAGTGATAATTTTGGGGAGACGGGCCAAGGATTCATTGTGCAGGTTGATGTCATCAGCGACGACTGATTGTGATCGTCGCCGGACCCACGACTGTGGACGCGACGTCGATCCGGGCGCCACCACCGCCGCAGGCACAGCACAGCGGTACCCTTCCCCGCTCGCCTGGGTCTCGTTCGTGGCCTTGCCGATACCCGCGACATCGATCATATGCAGAAGACCAGCGCAGAGGTACCAGTCCCACTGGTATACCGTATCGGCCAAGCACTGGTACCATTTTGAGTCGCGGGCTTTGCAGTGGCAGTGGACCCACCAAGCCTTGGCCGCAGACCCAGCCAATCTCGTATAATTATAGCGACAGCTCAGCCAAGCTTGTCTTCAACGGTCCTGAATACTCACCGGATGCCCGGTCCGACCCCTTCAATATTCCATGGACCATGATCCCCTCGAGACGGAATACCCAGGCTGCCTGTCGCACAAACCAGACCCCGCATGTCCCGTTCTCCCATCTCGGGCCGGAATTTGCTGAGACTCTTCGTATTCCCTTATCAGCTCGCAGTTTCGGGATTTGCTGAGATTGGCGCTGTATTATCGGCGGTATTTAGGGCAGCAACAGTCAGATGTCGAGGGAGTCGTGCTCTTCGTCAAGTGCAGGAGCGGCTCGCTCATTTTTTACGCTATCAAAACCATACAAAGAGTGACTTCTGTTGCTACGTCAACACCCTGCTCAAAACTACAGCGAAAAGCCCGCACCTACCACCTACACCGAGACTCCCAGGCCTGCGGATGGGTCGAGCTCACCCAGCAACATCGTGCCGTCCTTGCTCCCCGTTAAGACTATCCATGTTTAGCTCCTTCAGTGACGCGGGAATATGACGATACACTCACTAATAGGCTCCTTGGGATGGAAGTCCACCGCAGTCACAGTTCCTTTATGCCCGGGCAGCTTGTATATGACGCGCGAGCTCTCGACCTCCCATACACACCACCATGCGGTCCGCCCCGCCGACCGCGACACGGGCCCCATCATCATTTTTGCTCCAGGCCGCACGGAGGAGTGTGTGCTCAAAGCCAGCAGGGGAGCCAGTCAAGACGCGGTGAATGCGAGTGGGGTTGGCTGCAAAGGGCCGGACATCGTGGATGATGGTCTGGGAGGAGAACGAGGGGCTGAGGAGGAAAGACCCGTTGGGCGACAGCGCGAGCGAAGTGGGCGTGTCGGTGTGGCCCGTCAAAGTGGAGATCTGCGCTGACTTGCGGAGGTCGTAGATCTAGTGACATAAGAAAAAAGAAGTGAAAGAAAAAAGCAGTGGACACACGTGGATCTCATTGTCGAGCGCGGCAGCATAGACACTCGCACCGTCTGCGCTCCAGCAGACCGCTGTTACAGGACACCCGACCTCAAACTCCGTTACAGGGTCCTTCCCGCCGTCCTCGCCGCCATCCCACACCCTTACAACGCCGTCGTCTCCGCCAGTGGCGACCAGCTCAGTTCCACTTCCCCCGGCCATCGTGCGGTCGACCGAGTTGACTATCTCGCGGTGGGCACGGATTTTGCGTACGCGCTTGCCAGTGGTGACGTCCGTCGTGATGAGCGTGTGGTCGGCGGCAACGGTGTATAGGTGGGGAGCGCAAAGCGACCACTGCAGGTCCAGGATAGGCGCCTTTGCGAGGGAGGAAAGGAGCCCGTAGTTGTTGTTCGGGGGGTATGTCCTCCAGAGGGCTGCGACAGGTCAACATCCAGCGAGGGAGAAAGCATGGACACGCACAAACACCCCGGTCCGTCGAGCACGCAGCGATATTCTGCCCAGTAGGGTCAAACCGGCAGCTCAGTATCTCGCCCTATCGCCCCGCGTTAGCCACTCCCACCAACACACAAGCAAACAGACACAACGCACCCTATGCGCCCCCGCGAGACTGATAATGGGCGCCTCCAGCCCGCTCGTCCTTTGCACGCTCCGAATCAGCCCCTTGTTCTTGTCCCCCGCTGACGAGATGGCAATCTGGGTGCCCGGCGGCGGCGGCGTCGCCCGCGCGCGCTTTACAAGCGCGCCGCCTGGCGGTGGCGAGGCAGGTCGTTTCGACATGGTCGTTTTTCGTGAGGAGTGGCGTGACACGTCACGATCACGATTTTTTCTCTTCTGGCTGCTCAACGCCCGCCCTGAGGGAGAAAGGCCTTCTCTCAGCAAATCAAATTCTTCTCAATCAACAGTCGTCGTCGTAGAACCTGTGAATGGATTGAGGTTGACCATAGTGAGCGTCGAGTTTTCCGGCAGTCATAACACAAAGGTGTGGTCAAAATTCCATGCTTTCAACGACGGTCTTGCTATATGCATGGGTAGTTCCCGCCTCCCATCCCTTGTCAGTCGGGCCTCGATATACTACTGTCGCTTTGTGGTGTGGTGAATATCGTAGTCTGGAGAATGACAAAGCCCATACGGCCTCAGTTTGAAACGGAAGAGCGTCGCATCTCATAGGGATTGCGGAACTGAGTTAGCGGCCTCGGTGTGGACGGGTTGCAAACTGCATTCCCAGCAGCATGTGTCTCGAGGAACATATATTCAAGTCATGGGAAACTATAATCCTCAGGTGTTCCAACCTCCCACAGCTCTAGTGGATACTGAGTTTGAAGATGGTGAATTTCATACACACAGATGATTTAGACAACTGAAACATTATTATGATGTTTAGAGTTTGAAATAGTTAAATGGGGCCATATCAGTCATGGCCCCAAAATAGCAACCATTTCTTTGGCAAAAAAAGTCCAGAAAAGAAGTGGCAAGGTCAAGATTATCGAGACTGGTGAAATATCAGTATATCATGGGAAAGTGTTCCCAAGCTCTGAAAAATTTACTATCATGAAGTATATGGTCTCTGACTTTATGAATGTAGGTAATATACTCTTATTATGATTAAGCTGAGATTGATATCAGTGGAAGAGAAGCGCTATGAACCATTAGGACCTAGAGTAGGTGCACATAAGGCAATAGATTAGATAAACTTACTGAGAAAGTGTATATCCCAAGACTGCTGGGAGCATCACACTTTAAATCAAATAATGTGCTGATCTATCATGAAGGCATGAAGTATAATAGGGCATTTATATACTTCTAACCTTTGAGTAGAAATGATCCCAGTCCTTCATGCATTGGGAAGTGCACAGCAGCATACATTACTCATTGCAGGCTTTCATTGGCATATGGTGATTATGGTCTGTCTTCTTCAAGCTCATGTGCACTAACCAAGCTGCAGGCATACTTTTTCAAGTTAAGATCTAGGTCTTTACTAATTTATCTGCTAAGAAGCTTTATCTATAGGCTGCAAATCAGTATCTCTGGGAGCATTTACAACTTTGGCTATATGATCTGAGATTTACACAGTACAGAGAATGGTTCTGCCCTTCTTCAGGACAGTGAAAGATTGAGCTTGGTCCACTCAATCCCTCAGCCTTTTGGTTAAAGGATTACCCAGATATTCAAGTGAAAGCTATTAATCCACCCTCTGCCTTCACTCCCTCAATTGTAGAAATAAGCAAATGGATTGCATCTACACCAGACACCCTCCAATTCCTTTCAACTATGAGAACATTGACCATCAATTCTGCACACGACCTGCATATTCCTCTTCTTGGATTATATCAATATGATGCTTTAAAAAATATCCAGACTCTTGACCATTTCCAGATGCATAAGACAATAACTCCACGGGTCAGAAATTGGTATTGTTCCATTGCATCAGAACAACAGACAAATAGCAATAATACTACATGGTATGACTTGCTGCCTAAATATTGGTGTATTTACCACATGTGACTAGCATTGCTTTAACAGATATATATTCTAATGAATGTGACATTTTGCACCTTACACTGCGGGCAATGGAGCATATTCCGCCCTGGAATATGTTGAGAATATTATGAATATTACAGGGTGTATTCATTCCATCTTCTAGGCTGGAATATGACAGGAATATCCGTGGAATATTCTCAATTTTCTCACCATCTGTCATATATATGACAGCCCGGAAAATGTTGGGCAGATCCGTGGAATATTCTTAATCTGCCACATGTTTTCATTCAATATTCCGGCCTGGAATATATCACATGTTCCAGGCTGGAATATTGTGACCAGATTCTGGGACTATTATTGATTGGGATTTTGATTAGGATTCCATAAAACTGTGATATACTACTACTAACAAATTATCAAACATGGAGGTGCCTGAGTACTGGACGCAGGTGCAACATTCAACCCAGTATCTGAATTACAGACAGCTCCAAATGTAAATCATGTTCATCCTCCATTATCTCCTGTCAAATCAGCCTCTATCCATGCGTGAAAGCCGCCCACTATATCTCAACAGTCTGATCTCCCGCAGCACGACCACGGCCAGACTGCTTGTTTCTCTCCACAATGGCAACCTGTTCCTCGCTTTGGGGATCGAAGAGCCACTCAAGCTGGTCGTGCTCGAGGGTGAGGGTGTATTCCAGCCCCATGACTGTGCTCACGTTCAGAAAGCAAGCAAGTGTAGACGAGGAATGTGGGGGCCTGCACCCCATATAAGCTGGATGGTGTGCGGAGCTCGTTTAGTGCCATATATACAACGACGCGTCCCGTCCCCCCTCCGACGCCCTCCTCCTCCTCCTCCCGCTTCCACCGGCTTCACCTCGGCTCGACATCCCCGTGTCCCCTTCCACTCCCTCTGCCACCTCCAACAAAATCCAACAAGATCCATCGAGAACTCGCCGAGAACGCTTGTTGATGCAGCAGGCGCGTCATCGCCAATTGCTCTCTCGGATCGCAGCAACGTAAGACTGAGAAAAAAAAGTAAGCTAGATTTGGTGGAGATATAGTAAACTTACACAAGCAAAGTCACGCCAAGTAGCTTCGCTGTCTCGGATTGCAATACCTAAAGACTGAGAAAAAACAAAATTAAGCTAGAGTGAAAGTAGATCGTCGCAGGCTCACTGAAGCTAGGAAGCTCGCAGTTGCAGACTTCACGCTGTTTCAGTCTCGGATTGCGATATTGCAGGACTGAGAACAGTGCACGAACTCCGATAACGCCTCGCTCAGGCGGGTCACAAAAGTTGTCGGGTCTCCAGGAACAAAACGGGCTAAATGCGATGTCAAAATGCTGTCTATAAACCAGGGGATGAACGCACATTTGGGGGCTGCAATGGGACTCTTGTCAAAGTTAAGATATATACAGACCGCAGCCAAAAGCTGGTAGCAGTCCTACACTCCGAATGCTGCCGTTTGGACAGGAGAGGGCAAGGTCGGCGTGGCCAATTCACTGTTGATCGCTGTGTGTGGGGCTTGGGAGGAGTGTGATCGCTGGGGATAGCGGGCTGGCTGGGGGTTGGTTGGTGGCCGGCATTTATTGCAGCGCATTGGCGGGCCGAGTTTTTCACAAAGCCGTCGTCGTTGGTGGACCAGTCTGTCCGCTTGTCCCGCTAGTCAATAGTGCCACCACGCGGTTGACTGCGCCAGCCTTGACATGCGCGTCCGCCTAAAGCTGCGCTTAGCAACTATAACTTGAGTTCAAGGATGGAGAAACTTACTAAAGAACAAAAAGTTCATCTTTTCCGTTCTGAGAATGCCCTTGTCAACTGAGACTTTCGCCAAATGCTCGCGAACTTTTGAGCTGGAACTTAAGCTGATCTTGAGAGCACATTCCAAGTTTCACCTGAGAGTGTCAATGCCAGATTCCCGCCCAGAAGAGTACAGAAACTCACCACCCTATGTCGCCACCCCCATCTTTTTACCCAAGTCTTCAGTTTGCTTCATCATCTTCAATATTTTGTCCAACAATGTCTCTCCAGTCTGGCGCGTGGACAGCATGGCAGTCACCAGTCGATCTGGCAGCAGTAGGTGTTTCTACAATGAATCAGCAAAGCTCGGAGGAGGACGGTTATCCTCAGCAAGAGCACCCGCCGCCGCCACGCTGCGACCCCGCGCAGCCGCGCCCGTACCAGCTCGCCAGTGAACCCCCGCGCGGCCGCCGCCGTCGGCCCGCCGACGAGTGCAATGAAGGCATTGCAGGAGGTGGGGATAAATAGGGGAGGGAGTGGGCTAAGCGGGCCGGGGGTGAACGGCGTCAATGGGAATCGGATCAGGCTGGGTCGCGAATATGGGGCACCAATTGACCAAAGGTGCGTCGCGTTGCGGTAATTCGGCGTGGCATAAAAGTTGATGATGGCATCGGGTAGCGCGATCTCGCTCTCCTCCTTGACCACGTTCGGCGCCAGCGCGGAACTTGAATGGGGGTGCAGACACTGGCGGCGGCCCTGTCGCCTCTTGCGCCACATTCACCTTGGCGGGAAAAGATACAGCTCCGTAACGTGTCTTCGGGTCACAGCGCCGAGGTTTCTCTCACGTTACACCACGACTTCGACACAAGCCGGATGACAAGTTAGCAAGAGAGGACGGCTGTCTGGTACACCGCCTGCAGATAAGGCATCTGGAAGCTCAGTGCTGAGTCCCGTCTGCTAACAGGTGCTCCAGCTCCACCACAGAAGCCGGGCGAGACAGCACATCCAACCGCCATCCCAAACACGTTGCCTGCAGTGGCCAAACTCCACTGTCAAGCTCAGTCAGCACTGGCCAAAAAGACGAATCAGGCGCAAACTGTGGATGCCTCGGGGAGTGCTGCTCGCAAGCGCACGGGTGGCGCTGAACAACGGGTGTTCAGCGCGAGCGATACTGTGACCAACCCGCCACAGTCTTACCTGCACCAGCCACCATTGCGCCGCTCAGCGCAGCGCCAAACGTGCTGTCCTCGACATCTATCGTGGGCGGCTCGCCTGGCCAATTTCTAGCGAAAAAGTCGGTCAGCAATAACAACAACACGATGGATACTTCGCAAACTGGGGATAGATGCGGTCTTGGGCGAAACAAGGCATTCTGGGTGGTGGTAAGTGACGACATTGAGAGCAAGCGATGCTGGGATTGACCCCAGCAGGTTTGTGAATAACCGGCCGAGTTTGCGCTGTCTAGTGCGGCCTCAAACAGGCCATCCTCGGCGTCCATCGCGAAGCCAAGCGCGTTGGCACTCTATGCAGGTGCAAGCCCGATTACCCGTGAGTGACGTTGTTGCCAGAAAC